GTAGCACAATCCAAGGGGAGTTGAGCTGCTTAAACCTGAAGGTAGCCTGTTCAAACCCACAAACAACTCTGCAGAGGAGGGGCAATCTCCTTCCACGCAATTTACAGCCTCCAAAAACCCACTAGAGAGTAAGCTATGAGTAAGCTCCTACTTGACAGTAATGAGGTTTTAGTTTGAACCTACTGAGCCTGGAAGAATTCCCAAGACTACTACTGCCCTAAGATACATTCTAAACCATAAATCAAAACCATCCTCTGAAGTCACCTTTGAGCTTAGGTTAGCTCAAAAAGTTACTGAGTTAAGTAAGGTAAGTTCAAAAAAGTAAGAATAGTGTCACTCACCCTTAAGTACTACACTCTCAAAAAAATCATTTTTATGAGACAACAGTTACTTTCTAAAGTGTAGCTGAGAAGGTTGGTGGGCAGTAAGACTGGGCAGTAAGACAAGGTTAACAAGAATGGAACAACTAGAACGGAACTAATGCTAATGCTGACACACTGTGAAGAATGTAACAAATGTCACTGAATATTACGTACAGAAATTGCTGAATGGGAATGTTTTGCTCTGTATACTTTCATTAAGACTACAGACAGGTAGGGAGGGGATAACATTCTTAAAGTTGGGGGTAAAAATCTCAACAAATTTATGCCTTAAAGCAGATCATCAAGAAGGTGAAAAGATAACCCACAAAATGGACAAAACTATTTGCAAACCATATTTATAACAAAAGAACTGTATTTAAGATACATAAATAATTCTTACAATTCAATAAGACAAGTAGCACAATTAAAAATCAACACAGGATCTGCTAGATATTATTCTAAAGAAGATATGCAAATGGCCCAAATCCATGCCAGCTGAGTTGATTCTAACTCATAGCCACCCTCCAGCAGGTTTCCAGAGCCATAAATCTTAATAGGAAGAGACTAACTCATCTTGCTCATTCAGCGCAGGGAATGGGTTCAAACTGCTGCCCATCACCTAGCAACCAATTCTTAACCTACTACGCTACCAGGGCCCCATACCAACAACTAAATTTTTTTAAATGTTACTATAATTAATCATCAGGAAAATTTAAAGTTTTCAAACCAGTTATGTTGTTATTAAAAAAAAAGTCAACAACTCGGCAGGGATGCAGAGAAACTGGAACTCTAATACACTAATACACTGTTGGTAGGATTGTAAAAGGTGCAGCTACTTTGGATAACAGCCTGGCAGTTATCAAAAAGCTAAACATAGAGTTAACATATGATTCAGCACTTCTATTCCTAGGTATATAACCAAGAGAAATGAAAAGATACATACTTCCACATAAGAATTTGTGCCCAAATATTTATTCATTATAGTAAAAAAGTAGTAATAATCCAAATGTCCATCAAGTAATGCATAGATATACGAAATTTGGTATATCCATACAATGGAATATTATTCAGTAAGAAAAAGGAATCAAGAAGCTTGGAAACATATGGCAAGTAAAAGAAACCAGGGATAAAAACCAACATATTTCATGATGCCATTTATATGAAATGTCCAGAAAAGGCAAATCTGTGAAGACAGAAAAACAATTTATTGTTAAATAATGGAGAAATGGTGGCTGAGAAAACGATAGCTAAAGAATATAGGGTTTCTTTTTGGAGTAATGAAAATGCTTGAAAAAACTGTAGTGATAGTTGCACATTATCTGTATATAAAATAAAAACCACTGAATTACACACAGTCATTGAGCATATTAATGTGGTATGGAAATTAGATTTTTAAAAAGCTGTTACCAAAAAAGGAAAAATGCTAGAAACCAAAGAATAGACAAGCCAATAAACTGAACAACAGTACTTGTAAGGAACGTACTCCTCAGAACAATTAATCATGGAAAAGCAAAAGGGCAGCATTTGCCCCAAAATAAAGTTTACAAGACAGGAATGGGCAAGAGAAAAGGATGTATGTATACAGGGAGGGGATTCAAAAAAGAGAAGTGAGAAGAGCACTGAGGGAACTGCAACTAATGTCACTAGATAAAATGTGGATAAACATGGAAATTAAAATGTGGGAAAAAAATTTGCTCTGTAAACTTCTACCCAAGCCACAATTTTTCTTAAAATGCTTAGGGAGATCCACAAGCATAAGGTTAACTTCAAAATTTAATGACGTGTGAATGTCAATTTATTGTTTTTATTATGCAGTAAGAGTAATTTACTAAATCTGGATTCATTCTTCAGGATTTTCCAAGGGTTGAATATTCATTTGAATATCCCACACTTAAATGTGCTCTTTGATATAAAAGCTGTTACTAAAACAAATAGCAGCTAATAACTATGTAATTATTTTCTATTTAGCATGTAGTTTTATAAGCAAAACTGCAGTCATACCTTTATACCAAAGAACTTTATTAAGCAATGCCTCCTTGATATACACAATTATAAAAATAGAATATGTAAATTGAATCTATTTTAGGTGGCTTATTACTCTAATAATGTCTAATAATTTTAATCTATTATTTGTAAATAGATGTCTACCTTATTTCTTTATTCATAGCACAACCACTTAAGAGACAAAAGTTGATTAAATTGCAATAAAACAAAGAAGTGTTACAGAAGTATGAAGTCAACTCAATTTTTAAGGGCTCAGCTTTTTATTGAACATATTACGAAAGGGTTTTATTAAAAACACCCAAAGCTTATGTTAAAAGCCAACTCAATTTTTAGAAGATGACAAAGAATAAAGACATGAAAGGGGAAAAAATGTAAAACTCTGTTTTACTTATAACCCAAAATCAAACCCAGGGCCTTCAGAAGATTCTAGAAAGTGCTCTAGTGACATAGGATATTATATACTGGACTGCTAACCTGAAGGTTCATCCTTGCTTCCAAGGAGCACCTTGTTCACACTCACTCCAAAACATACACCCTGGGCATGTCTTTAGGAAGGGCCAGTCCTTGATGAAGAATATGATGCTTGGAGAGATGGAGGGTCAGCACAGGAGAGGAAGACCCTCAACAAAAGGGATTGACAATGTGACTTAAACAATGGGCTCAAGTATACTAGAGATGGTGAGGATGGCACCAGTGCCAGGCTCACATCTGTTGTTCACAGGGACATTACATATAACAACACCAACAACTTAGATGCCCCAGTGTGAATCCACCAGCTCCTTCATGAAGGAACAATGAGGTTTTCTCCTGTTAAGATTTACAGGGTCAGAAACTTGATGGAAGATTTTATGGAATGGAGTAGTTTTTAAAATATTCCCCTTATATTTTATGTAAATAAAAATTGTAGCAAAAAAAAAAAAGTGACAAAATGTTTATAACTACGTGGTTTAGAGTACAGCAGCAAAAAAGCCCCCAGAATCAGTCTTGAAATAACAGTCTCTAAAAAAACACCCCCCCACACACACATACCCCACACACACAGTCTTATTCCTGAGAGTCTGGGGTCATTTTCGCCGTTTTAAAGATAAGCAAATGTGAAATGACTTTACACATTTCACAATTTGCCCAAGACCACAAAGCAAATCTGTGGCAGAGATTTTGAAAATAGTTTGTATTTTCAAGTTGATGATTTAAAAAAAAAAACAAAACAAAAAACCAAAAACCTGTAACGTAATATATAATAAGTCAGGGAAATCTCTGAAGAGCATTTTCTATTCTGTGAGCATTTTCTATTCTTTCAGCATAAACAAACGTTGGGACCTTGTTCTGATGCTTGCGGCCATCTACAAGTCCATGGCCAGTGGTAGGTGGAACACCACACAGGGACTGATTAACTCAAAAACTTTTCAGGTTTAAGTCTGTGATTCTCTCAAGTATTTTCACTGTTAGGTTAAATTTCAGCTGTTCAAAAGCAGGCTACTTCAATTGTCAAACCTATAAAGCCTGTACGAAAATAACTAAGGAAAACGCAATTCTTGACATCTTTGCTTAAGTCAAATGTAGAAAATGTAACTTTTTCTTTCTTCCCACAACCTACGCACTAATCAAAATTGTTAACTTTGTTATTTTTTTCTCGGATTGATTATATAACGGCAGAACTATCAATAAATTGTAAATGAAAATAAGATTGCTACTGTTCACCCTTTCAAAATCTGATTCTTTTTTTTTTAACTATTTAAAATAGTAATAATAAACAATGAAAGACTTTTACTTTTCAAAGACAAGAGTGAACTGGGGGGAAGGGTGCTCAGGGAGAAAAGAGCAACAGTGGATGAGTGGAAGTCCAAAGTCTCTGTAAATTTTCATTAAAATTAATAATAATAAAAAAATAGTAATAATAATGAATGGTCCCAGGGTTCATATACTTATTTTTTTAAAAAAGCACTTATCAAGTACGCAGGGATGAAAGAATGTGTTGCATTTGCTTTGACATACTTCAGCAAAGGAGAAAAGGTACAGATGAAACAAGTGTGATAAATTCTGACAACTGTTGAATCTGGGTGATGGGTACATAAGCGGTTCATTTCACCTTTTTCTCTCTACTCTTGTCATAGCAACTGAAGTTTGTCCTAGCAACTTTATAAAAAGAGGATTATAACCAAACAAGGCTGCTGTCCAGGAAATGAAATAGGAGCCAGTGAATGTCTATGATCTTCCGAACCAACCGCGAAGGGCCAGGGGAGAAGGCGAGGGACCGTCCGGCGAAGGATCAGCCGGTGGGCCCCGCGCCGACAGCCGGCTGGAAGCGCGCACGTTTCCCTTCGCGGCCGATCCGACAAATGGCTCGGTGCGCTCCAGGCTCCCGGCACCGCGGAGCCCGATCTGGAAGCCGCACACGCGGGGCTCACGCCGGCAGCTCCGCGAAAACCGAGAAACTCCGCTCCAGACCTCTGGGTCCCGGCCCAGGCG